GTTGGTGGCCCTTTAAAAAAAAAGGTTTCAGACTTTGTTTTACCTTTTTTTTAATGTCTACATGCAGATAATGAAGATTGCCACAGATAACCTACAACAATGAAGAAAGCAGATGATATCAGCTTCATGTTTGACCAGTGACAACGTCCGAAAGTTTGGCCGATGACTCCTCGAGCATTGCGTAAAGCCGCTTGACTCTTAGTGAACAATATTAACCAGATAAACTTATCATACGCTTACCCCTCATGAATCTATGCATGCTAATTATCTGGTAACCGCAACATACATTGAGGCAAGAAAAAAAAAAAAAAAAAGCTACGCATCATTAGAATTTTGCACATTTTCTTTAAATCCCATGTGTGTGGTTATTCCGGCATTTTCTCATTACTTGTCGAGAGAGGACCCACAAACGAGCTCACATGAAGTCCAACCCCATCAGCCACCTGTCTGCAGAGAAGCTGCCGGCCATTAGCCGGGCTCAGCATCCGCAGGCCAAAGTCTGAAGGTTGAATTGCGCGCCGGAAGCACTGAACGCGACATAATTATACATATCTGTTCGTCTACAGCCGGGACCTTTGCGGGCCCTGGTCACACTTCACGCGAACACACAAGTGCGCTTTCCACCAGAGCCCCATTACCGCGAAACCCTTAATGCTCCGCTTTGCCGAGCCTCTGTTCCGTCACTTCAGCTCAATAATTAATCAGAAATAAACATACATTGCTTGACAATAAGGCTTTTGTATTTGGCAACTAATCAGACAACTCATTAGGCAGTAATGAGCCGTCGCTGCCTGCTCTCGTCGTGTTTGGGGGGGAAACTTTGGCGCACGGGGAGAAGTGGCAGTGTAAGAGAAGAGTGTGTGTGTTAGCGCACAATACACTCCCAGCAGCCGCCCTAAATGTATTCCCCATGCAGATGCAGGCTCCCACTCCAATTATGGCAGCATTTCACCCAGGAAGAAGCCCACTTACCGCGCATTCACTTTATGAATAATTGATTGTTTATGCCAGTGTTGTATTTGTAAATACACGTTTGTGCTCTGATTAATAGTTTTCTAGACATACTCATTTGTTCAATTTGATTAGACGCTTAAATGTATTATTTATTAGCTGAAATTGCTCTCCGGTTATTAGTCATCACGAGAGCAACGAGAAGATTTGGCACGAGGACACATCTGCATGCGAACAGACGGGCTGCTATCACATGGCAAGTGGCAGCGCGTGTGAGATTTAGTGTGCTGTTGAGATCTTATGAGCTTTCCAGCCTGTTGTTGCATCTTTTTTTATTTTTTATTTGAGACTTACAGATTCAATTTTAAATCTCAGAAAAGCAAGTAAGCAACAATATTCAGTGCCTCAAATGATTATGTAGTGCAGATCAGTGTGAAGTGAAGCCGCTTTTATGCAGAAACGGGAGAGATTCAGCGTCCCGTTTAGCAGAATTCTAGATCTGTGGACACGTCCAGACAAAGGGAGAGGTTATGGAACGGTCAATGTGAGGAATTGACTTTTTTTTGTTGTTAGACTTTGAACTATTTCCCTCATGGCATTGATGAAAAAATGAGTATCTGTGCCCTTTTGTGTGAGATGGCTGCATCGTCCCTAGCTGTGGCTGATTCTTTTTGTTGCGGCACTCTTATGAGGAAACAGGTCAGATTTGTTAGATAAAGAGAAAACAACAAGACAGTGATCCAAACAAAAGGTCCAAACGCTCCGCAGAAATTGAAAACATTTTCCGGAAGACACAATCAGCATAAGATCGTCACTGTAGCGAGCTACAATAAAAAGCCTTTTGAAGGCTTTAAATGATACAACTCTTGGAATTTGGGGGAAGAAAAGGGCTGATTACTCACCAGTGTTCTGGGATTTAATTTATCTAGATGCAGAAAAACACTTTTCCCTTCTCTCTGTCCTCAGGGAGGTGACTAGTGAGGTGACAGAAATGGAAAAAGGAAAAAGAAAAAACACATTTCAAATTGTGAAAATGACGACAAGTGTTTGCAGTCACATTACTTTATAATCCAAAGTATGACCTTTTTTCTCCTTTTTTTTTTGCCTCGGGCGTGCAGTGTCACTGTGTTCTACGTGATAAAAGGATGCTGGAAATTGTTTTAAGAGACAAGAAGATAGCTGACATTTTTCACAGCAGACACTTTAGCTTTTCACGCTGTGAAAATGCAAACTCCTTCTGTATCTGCTGGGTTGTCCAGCAGCCACAGACCTGTCGCTTTAGACCTTTATCACAACATTTAGGTGAACATAAAGCTTCTATGAGATCCTCCTTCCTCTATTCTTTCAGTATCTTTTGAAATGAATCTCTGCAATCTTCATCGAGTGAATAGTACAACAGATTTTTTTTACTCTTATTGATATATTTTCAGGAAAGCCAAAGTAGGCCTGGTGCTTGTATCAGTAAAGTATGATATGGCGTTAGATAACCTCTCAATGTTCCAGTGTTTACATTGCATTTATCACACAGCTCTGCTTACGATCTATGCCTGTGAACGTGCTCCACTCTTTTTTTATTGTTGCTGGTACAAATCAAACTGTTTCTCATATTTATTTACTGATTCATCACTAAAATGGTAAAACACGGCACATTAAACATTTGATGTTTTTTTCTGTGTCCTATTGTGAATAAGAAAGAGGTTTATGAGAGTTTCTTTTTTCTAGTCGAGGGATCTTACCTTTTACACATTTATTAGATGAGATTTTACAGAGATTGACGTTTTTGTATTCGCCAACCAAAGCTAAACACTCAACTTCTGCGTGGAGAGGATATGAACATATCACACATGTGCACATGTGCACTGTAGAGAATGAGGCCCACCCCCCCGGCAATTAAGTTGCTCTATCTGCCTGCTCTTTTTTAGTTTGTGTATGTACAGAAATGTTATACTTTTGCTGAACGCTCTTACCTGTTGCGGTGGAGGGGGGGGTGATAGGGAGGTGATGGGCAGCTATGACTGCGCTACTGTGCTCGTCGTGCATTCTGGATTCTGGGAGACCAACTGAAGTCGTAAGGAAAGAAAAGCAGCACTGCTCTACACCATATGCCAAATATGAGCCCACTTGCCAATTTGTGGGGGGATACTGGCAAGTGCTAGCAAAGCTGAATTCTTGACAGAGGGAGATGAATAATTGAACATGTGCGAGGCAAAGTTCTGTCGGCGTGGAGTGGAGTGCCTTTATACATGGAGAAAAGGGAGTAGAGACAGCCAGACTGTCTGCAAGCTAAACTCTCATTTAGATAGCGCTGAGTTTTTATTTTATTTTTATTATTTTTTTTCAGTAAACACGTCAAAAAGTTGCAGAGATTTCGAGATGAACTTCAGTGGGTTTCTTGATGAGATGCTAGCGTAAAATAAAAAGTACTGCTCATTTATGCGCGCCATTGATCATACAAGACAGCACCTCAACAGCACCGAACACTGAAAAGATTTAAACGTGCGAAAACAAAAGAAATAGAAATATCCTGAGGAGAAATCTGCGTGAATCGGTTAGTGGAGATGTTTGTCTTTTGGGGAATGCAATTTGTATTCAAATTTGAATATTTTAACAAGCACATTGCGTCAATCTCCAGTTTGGCAGACAGGGACACAAAGTGACGCTACCGTAAACTTGGAAGGAATGTGTCTTTTTGCACACATAGCCACTTCCTTTGTAGCCACCCTTAAAGCTATGGTTTATATCCAGATCTGCAGCACATTTCACCAGGGCACACATCAGGCACAGCTGCAACCAACAGCTGCTTTAGCCTAAGTGGGATAAACTCATCATAGCAGGTTTCAGGAGGTGATTACATGTTGGGCACGAAGCATTTCCCCTAAATGTCCCACATGTTTCACTCGCCTGTTTTGATTTGCCGTCGCAGTTATGCAGAGTGCGTCATCCATCACTGTCCTTCATCAGTGTACCTTCCCGGTAGAGGAAGGATTTTACTAATCATACGCAGGAGTACTGGCTCAATGACGAACTGAAAAAGACACCAAAAAAAGGACTGTTCAACCAGGCTTCCACCTGAACATGTGTGTCTTCCAGCGTGAGGCCATCGGAGGGGGATTTATGTGTCTATAAATAGACGAGGCGATGGCCAAAAATGCATCCATTTGAAAAGACTTCTCAGATTTCATTGACTTTTCTTGGCTAAAGGCGTTTCTTCAAGAGAAATATTGGTGTCCCTCACATATTGACCAGATATGCTTCTTTGGAACTTTGGGCCACTCCTGGCCTTAGCAATTAGTACGCCATACCCCAGGTCATGACCTTTGGGCCACATTTGGCACACAAAATGGATGCCAGTGCCCTAACTAATTAATGCCAAAAGGACGTGTCTTCCATCTGGGTCAGACCCTCCAATATCTTCCAAACCTCATGTGCTCTATTTTAATGTACCTTTGATAGTTGAGAAATGCTTCAGTCAAAGCTACAGGTATCAACATGCTAGTGGGAAAGTTGGGTTTGAAATAGCCAGGTGTTTTCACATGTCTGAACAAAGGTAGCTGTATGGCGCCAGTGTCTGAATTCCCACTACTTCAACGCACGTTCTGTACGTTTATTTGTGCAAGGTGCACACGAAAAAAAAAAACCCGGGCAACTTTCCGAGTCCTCCGAGAGGGAAAACGGACGTCACATCCAGTGTTGGGAGATAATGATGAACGCCTCCGGCCCGGGCCAAGGACAAGAAGTTTAAGGGAGAAAACAAACTATTCTGGATGAACAGAGCCTGCTAATAGACGGAGACAAATGTAAGCGGCCATCTTGTCAGCGGCGCATTCTCTCCACTATTAGCCCGGTGATAGTGTCCCGCTATCACTTCTGACTTCTCCATCAATCTTCAGAAATGGATGCGATTTGGTCTTTTGTTTTTATTGTGACTTTATCATTACTGTGTCGCTTTCACTTAAATCTGCCATCTTCTAATCGTCATTGTCTTTCTCCTTTCTCCTTCTCCCCCCCCCCCCCCGTCCTTTCCCAACCCCTGCTTCCCTCACCGACAGACACCACCCTGTCCAGAGAGCGTGGTGAGTACCGCAGCCACACACTCCTCCCCCCGAGTTCCAGCCATCTGTGTGAGAGCGCTGCCAACAACAGCATAGCGTCTGCTTTTTTGTTTACGTGGAAGAAAGATTTTCAGATGCTAGTCTCAGTGGGGGGTGGGGGGTGGGGGGCGCTGAGTCACAAACATCATTTGCATCAACAGGAAGCTGTTTTCCTCTCCCATCATGGTGCACGTCCCAGCCAACGTTGAAATGAGGAGAGAAACATCAAGCGAAGGCAATTATAAAAGCAGCATCCACAGACCCATGTGGCCAATCAGAATTTGAATTTTGCATGTTTTTCTCTGCACGCAGTTTGCCCCGACCTACTTACTCAATTTACCTCCTTTTGACTCCAATAGTATTCAGTAAGGAGCCAAGAGGGACTTTTTTTATTTAAACGTAATCTCTGTCCGGCTTTAGCAAAACACATCTCGAGGTTGTCTAAATAAAAGGTAGGTGGATTCCCCCTCTGTGGTAGTCTCTCAGATTCAATTTTTTTCTTCCTCCTGTATATGGTGCTGCACTTAATGGCTTGCTTTGCTTGAAAGAGCGCTTGGATCCACTTGTCAAATGCCTCAAAGTGAGTCCATGTGCGAAACTGTCTCTCTTTGAATCCAAAAAAGTCTTTATTTGGATTTGGTTTAGCAAATGCAGAAGATTGATATTTTCATCTGGTAAGAAGTTATTCAGCGCAACCCAAACTGAATCACTGAGTAGTTTCTAACTCGACAACCATGCCAGAGGGGTAAACTGCGGTCTGCATATAGATGTTACTGTAGTTTCAGAGGGGTTATTGACCTGAACCAAGCAAACAAAACAAAGAAGATTGTTACAACCACCACAGTGGAATTAAAAGCTGTTCTAAGCATTTGGAAAAAACCCTGAAATGTTATCTTCAGGGAAAAAACACAACCTTGAATGATTGCCACTAGCATAAACTATATGTAATTACAGCTTATAATGGTAATTTAAAAAATAACATTAGAATACTACAACATTATGTTTTCTGTTTGGGATAAATGAGGCATTTATCATTTCGTTTCACTGTGATCAGTGGTCACACAAAGATTCTGTGAAATAAAATAGAGCCGTATCAATGGTAGACATCATAACACGTCATGTGACACTACCAATGTCTTGTAAACATAATCATACTTTAGGGATTAAACAGCTGGATAGTCTCTTAAAAAACTACTTGTTTGGTAGACAAATTTGAAAAGAAAAGCTTTTTCAATCTGCCTCTCTCTCATTGAGCAGAATCCTTCCATCAGTGGGGTCTGACATAGTTCTCTGGCATATTTTGTTTAGAATTACACAGAGACACAGCAAAGCACCTCCATTTTTATCCTCTGACATAACTCCACTGCTCACATTGTGATACACGAATGAGCATTATCACCAAACAATGTATCGCTTACTCTGTTCCCACTGAGCCGTGATGCTTTTGGGGGGGGAGCTTTTGAGTCCATTTGGTGTGACGGGGGTCACGCAGTTTATACAAAGCACCGCATACTGTGCCTCCAGTCTTTGAACTTCAAAGTTTCATGAGGGTGGAGAAGTGTAAAGTTGTGGCTTAGATCAAGTGCTTGAGGTTTCCTTTGTGTGTGTGTGTGTGTGTGTGTGTGTGTGTGTGTGTGTGTGTGTGT